TTTTTTTTTTTTTTTTGCCTCAAGAATAGGCTGAAGAATGCGTTAAGTACCCCAGCAAAGTACTCAAATAATCTGAGCCCGATGACATTGGGTCTCAAAACTGGCTGTGTGTTGTAATTATCCAGAGTAGTTTCTTTTCTTAAAAGAATTATTTTTTAAAAAAATGTTTGGGGCACTTGGGTGGCTCAGTTGGTTGAGCTTCTGACTTCGATTCATGGGTTTGAGCCCCGTGTCAGGCTCTGCTCTGACAGTGCAAGCCTGCTTGGGATGCTCTCTCTCTCCTCTCTCTGCCTCTCCCCAGCTCATATTTTCTCTTTCTCAAAAATAAATAAATAAGGGGCACCTGGATGGCTCAGTCAGTGGAGCATCTGACTTCAGCTCAGGCCATGATCTCACAACTCGTGGGTTTGAGCTCCACATTGGGCTCTGTGCTGACAGCTCAGAGCCTACAGCCTGCTTTGGATTCTGTGTCTCCCTCTCTCTCTCTTCCTCCCCCCGCCCCTACACTCTGTCTCTCTCTCTCCTAAAAATAAATAAACATTAAAAAATTGAAAAATTGTTTTAAGTAAAATAAACAAAATTTTAAAAATGTTTATCTACTTTGAGAGAGAGAGAGAAAGAATGTGTGCAAGCACATGCAAGTGAGCAGAGGAGGGCCAAAGAGAGAGAATCCCAAGCAGCCTCCCTGCTGTTGGTTGAGCTTCTGACTCACGACCTAAGCAGAGATCATGACCTAAGCAGAAATCAAAATTCAGACTCTTAACCAGCTGAGCCACCCAAGCACCCCCAGAGCAGTTTTTTTTTTTTTTTTTAACGTTTATTTATTTTTGAGACAGAGAGACAAAGAGAGCATGAACGGGAGGGTCAGAGAGGGAGACTACAAGAATCTGAAACAGGCTCCAGGCTCCCTGAGCTGTCATCAACTGGGAGACTGACGCTTTAGGGCGAACTCACGGACCGCGAGATCATGACCTGAGCCGAAGTTGGCCACTTAACCGACTGAGCCACCCAGGCGCCCCCAGAGCAGTTCTTAAAATACAAATGCCTAAGAATGCTTGGGGTAAAGCCTGGGCATCAGCTTTACCAATGTTTTGTTTTAAGCTCTTCAAGTAATTTTATTTATTAATTTTTTTTCAACGTTTATTTTATTTTTGGGACAGAGAGAGACAGAGCATGAACGGGGGAGGGGCAGAGAGAGAGGGAGACACAGAATCGGAAACAGGCTCCAGGCTCCGAGCCATCAGCCCAGAGCCTGATGCGGGGCTTGAACTCACGGACCGCGAGATCGTGACCTGGCTGAAGTCGGATGCTTAACCAACTGCGCCACCCAGGCGCCCCTCTTCAAGTAATTTTAAAGTGCACAGGAATTACCAATCACTCTTCAAAAAAAATACCATTATGAAAGACATGAAAAAAATTAAAGGGTAAATATTCCAGTCAGGTGGCAGTGACCCCATCTTAGCTAGTTGGCCATGATTAATTATGAGAAAGAGTAAGTTATTGGTCAGCTCACCTCTGCATGTGATCAGGACTCAGGTTTGCAGTGTTGAGAACACAGACATAATGGGTAGGAATGCCACAACCCTGCCGTACGTGATGGGCAAGAAGGTAGAAGTCCACCCTAGGAAGGAAAAAGTACAAAGGAATGATATGGTCAGATTTGGCCAAAGAGAGCTGAAAAAGATCTTGGTGATCATTTTGCCTCCTTCACCTAAGGCTCAGAGAGGTCAAATGACTGGATCAAGGATACACACAGACCAAACCATATTATAGCTCAGGAATCTGGACTCAACAGTATATGGTATTAGAGGGGTACCTGATTGGCTCAGTTAATAGTGTGTGACTCTTCATCTCAGAGTTGTAAGTTTGAGTCCCACATTGAGTGTAAAATTACTTAAAATTGTTAAGAAAAAAAAAAAAGGGATCGGTAGCAGAAACTACCAAATCTGTGTGCAGGAAGTTAAAAGTATACATAATCTTAGGAAAAGAATGTGCGTTCAATACTTTATACTTAAGAGGTAAAAGATTTATTGTTGGTTTGTTCTTCAGTTGTTTTGAAAATATTTTATGACCATAAAATCTGAGGATTCCATTCCACATCTCTCTAGTCAACCTCCCCATTCCAATACCCAAGGAACAAATAACCCCTCCAACCTATTCTTGCTGAAATATAATGTTTTCCCCACTTACCACTCACAGCTTGTTATGGTATGATCTACCACAGTCCCAGGGGAGGGAGTCACAAAGTGCTCGGTAGCAGCCAGGTACAAATTGGTACTGATTTTCTTCTGAACTACAAATACTACCATCTTGGGCTGATAATTCTCAAAAGCTTCAAAACACTTCTGTAGCTGAGGAATCTCATAGTTGGCAACTGTCTTTAGTTGGCCATCAGACACTCCGTCACGGTATACCACAATCTTCTCTGGGAGACAGTGGTTCACCTGAAACGACATCCTCCTGAGGTGAACTATGGAGTCTGGGGTTGATGACCGCAGGCAGTATGAAGCTCACTCAGCACACAGCTTGGCAATCTGGCAGTAGGTCCCTCTGACAGCTGGGCCCAAAGCCACCATGTCAGAAGGGAAGGGAGGAAAAGCTTCTAGTCATTTCTAGACTTCCTCAGGGTAGTAAAACAGACCTGGTACAGCAAAAGTGTTATAAACTATGAAAGTAAAATAAGCCAGTGATGAGTCACATACATAAGGCCCATACTCAAAAAATATGAACAAAGTTGAAAGAAATGGTAGGAAAATTATGGGATGAATCAACCTTCCTTTGACTTGTATTTCACATGAATTACCATTTAGACAAAGAACAAGGTAAGTGTTAGAGAAATTCTAACATAGGACTGCACAACCCACAGATCCATCTTCTTCACATTTTTATGTACAAGCAACATCTAAAGTTGCTAACAAGTGAAAGGATCCCTTACAAAATATTATCCTACAATCAGGTATAATGTGAAACATTTTTACTAAATAATTAAAATTAGCATACAGTTATGGTAAATTATCCATGGATCCAAATCAAATTTGGATGCTGGATTCAATCAGTTTGAAGAATAATGCTTTTCCCATTTAGAGAATATAATTATGTTCTAGCTGTGTTTGATTTCAATAGTTCAAGAGAATAAGCTGTTCTTTTTTTTTCGGGAGAGAGAGAGAGAGAGAGAGAGAGAGAGAGAGAGAGAATGCTCATGTACACAGGCAGGGGAAGTGCAGAGGGAGAGGGGGAGAGAGAATCTTAAGTAGGCTCCACACCCAGCCCTGAGCCTGACACATGATTCTATTTCACAACCATGAAATCATGATCTGAGCTGAAATCAAGAGTCAGATGCTTAACCGACTGAACCACCTAGGTGCCCCTAAGCTGTTCTAACTTTAAACTAGAAGTTCCCTGAAAAGTGCTTTAGTTTAGTCCACAGTCCGTAAGTGGTAGTTTGATTCTAATCAAGTCGTATAGATTATTCACAATTCCCCTCAGAAACCTAAATTATTACTGAATTAAATATATATACACTATACATTCTTTATACATTTATTCTTTTTAAGTTTCAATTCAAAGAATCCTATTTTTTTAAAATGTTCTATTTATTTTTGAGAGACAGAGAGAGAGAAAGGAAGAAAGAGCGTTGAGTGGGAGAGGGGCAAAGAAAGAGGGGGACAAAGGATCCAAAGTGGACTCTGTGTTGACAGTAGAAAGCCTGACGTAGGGCTCAAACTCACAAACCATGAGATCATGACCGAGCCAAAGTTGGATGCTTAACCTACTGAAACACCCAGGCACCCCAAGCATCCTTTTTTTAAAAAAAATGGTTATTTGGGGCACCTGGGTGGCTCGGTTGTTAAGTGTCCAACTTTGGTTCAGGTCATGATCTCACAGCTAGTGGGTTCCAGCCCCGTGTCAGGCTCTGTGCTGACAGCTTCAGATTTTGTGTCTCCATCTCCCTCTGGCCCTCCCCTGCTCATACTCTCTCTCAAAAATAAATAAACATTAAACAAAAATTTTTTAAATGTTTATTTTTGAGAGAGAGAAAAAGTGGGGAAGAGTCAGAAAAAGGGAGAAAGAGTATCCCAAAAATCTGCGCTTACAGCGCAGAGCTGGACACACGGCATGATCTCACAACCAAGATCATGACCTGAACTGAAATCAAGAGTCAGACACTTAATTGACTGAGCCACCCAGGTGTCCCCAAAGAACCCTTTTTAAAAAAATGTTTATTTTATTACGTATTTTGAGAGAAAGAAAGAGAGAGAGAAAGAGCATGCATATGCAAGTGGCAAGGGGACAGAGAGAAGGAGAGAGAGAATTCCAAGCAGGCTCTAGGCTGTCAGCATGGAGCCCAATGCAGGGCTCGATCCCATGAACCGTGAGATCATGACCTCAAACGACTTGAGCCAACTAGACGCCCCTCAAAGAATCCTTTTTAAAAATAATCCCCTAGAATCTTGCTGAAGTTAAAGCTCAGAATTTCAAATATTTTTATAAATGTGTTTTTTGAGACACCTCAAGTATTACATTTACAAATGTGTAATTCACCTCACAGTCCCAAACTGTAATTATTGCTCTTGTTTGTATGACTTTTCTGTTTTTGTGTTGTCTTTGGCTGTCCAGAATCTATTCTATCATTTTTGGTAAGAACGTTTAGTTTCCTTCTCCCCCCAACAGGATACGTCTGCTGGGACTATTAATTGAGGCGCCTTCCCCTAATCCAGGATATCTCAACACTCATGATCTATGGAGCTAGATTATTCTGTTTTGGGGGGCTGACAATGTTTAGAAGTATTCCTGGCCTCTACCCACTAGATGCCAGTAGCAATCGCCCCCCACTAAAAATGCCTCTAGACATTGCCCACTGGGAGGACATAACTGCCACCAGCTGAGGACCACTGCACTAATCAAAGGACATAAAGATGACCCAAGTTATGCCAACATAATGCGCCTCCTTGCTTTGAATCTCGAGCAGATAATGAAAATCACTTGGAGTATGGTCCCTCTGTGGTGGTGTCTCTTTAGGTCCCTGCGTCTGGAACTCCAGGAGCTACCCTGACTCCTGTCCATTTCCCAGTTTGATGTTAAGCCTTCTTACCAATCATCTGAGACTCTCCATGATTTTACCAATTAATTCTCACTTTGCTAAAGCTAACACATTTCTATGACTTCTCAAAGACCCCTTACTGATACACTATGTTAAAAGGTAGATACCAGGGGTACTTAGATCAGGAAGAAACCGTCATTTCAGAGAAGGAAACAGAGTGGCAGTCCAATGGATCTGGGGTCAGGAGACCTGGGACTGAGTATGATTCTGCTGTTCCTTGGCTATGATCTCAGAATACTGTTTCCTCAGTTGAAAAATGGAGATAAACCACCACCTTACCTTCTTGTCAGAGTTGTTAAGGGGGATAAAGTAAAAAATATACACAGTTGACTCTTGAACAACATGAGTTTGAACTGTGTGGGTCCACTTATATGTGAATTTTTTCAATATAGTACATTACTGTAAATGCATTTTCTCTTCTGTATGATTTTCTTAATATTTTTTTCTCTTATTTTATTGTAAGCATGCAGCATATAATGCCTTTAGCATACAAAATATGTGTTTCATCTACTGTTTATGTTATTGGTAAGGCTTCTGGTCAACAGCAGGCTATTAGTAGTTACTTTTTTGAGAAGTCAAAAGGTATACAGTTTTTTGACTGCATGGGGGGTAAGTACTCCTAGCCCTTGCATTGTTCAACAGTCAACTGCATATATTTTTAAAAGTTGTTCAGAATGCACTAGATTAAGGAAATGCAGATATTCCAAAGCATCGAGAAGTAACATAACGAGATAAATGGAGTGAAAAATAGAATCAAATTCATCTGAAGTATTCACTGACATCACCTCTTTCTTTAAAATTTGCTAAGCAACCACTCAGTGTGAGATACTATACTTGGCCCTATAATATAAGCTGCCAGTAGAAGTGAAAGATGATTCCTGTTATCAAGGAGCTTAAAAATCTAGTAATAGTCAACGATGGTAACTCTTCTAGGTCATCTAATCCATACTCTTTTATTTCATAAATGGTTAAGATTAGGGTCTAGACAAGGGTCAGGATATAAGACAAATCACAATACTGAAACATAGATGTTAAATGTGTATTATTAAACCCCTTCAGTATAAGAGTAAATAAATTAATAAATTAATGAGTACCTTGAAAGCAGGACTGTGCCTGTTTGACTTGTATTGCTAGCACTGAGTACGATGGCAAGGACCAAGTAGAAAATAAATATCTGCTGAAAGTTTGAGATGTTCTTTTAGGCATGGCTCCATTCGTTCATAAAATAAACACTTAATGCCACTACACACAAGCAATTGTGTTAGTCTCACAAAATTAAAAAATTACTTTGATACAATCCAAATGTTCATGGAACTCAAATTAGAACTGGAGAGACAGACACATAAAGTAAATGTTTGCAACAAATTACAAATAACATAATAAAGATAACATTTGTTGTCTGCAGGGAAAAGTCAACATTATGCCTCAGGAAAAGGTGTAATGAAAGAATCAGCAGATAATTCAGGCAGCAAAGAAGGGTAAAAGGTTTCCAGGCATAACACAAGCAAAGGCCTAGATTGTGGCTGGACAAGGGGTAAGAAAACAACTAGAGACCACTATATTATCAGTCATACATTTGAAAACTACTCTGGCAACCATCTACAAAACAAATCAAAGATGATTAAGAATGAGTATTAGGACCAGATCACTTCCAGTTGAGGATGTCAAATGAGAACACTGAAACCCTTCACTCTTATGGTAACACCACAAAAATCAAAATAACATAAAAATCACACTTACATATGGGACTATCAAAGACCAGTGGAAGCAAGAAAGCCTCGATGAACTTGAACAGAGAGGAGCCTTCAAAAAGGAGCAGTGAATTTCTGAAGCATCCATGAGACAAATGACAAGAGTGAATGTGGGTAGCAGGAAGAGGCGGCCTGAGGTTGCAGAAATTTTACCAAGAACAGACAAGACTGACAGGATTCTGGGGAGATAGCAGAGGAGGAAGAAAAGGACATTCTCTCCCCACCTAGATAACAAATGTACTAGCAGAATCTGTCTGATGTGAATAATTTTGGAACTCTGGAGTTTGTTGAAGGCTTGCAATTTCCCAGGGAAGATGTGGACAGTGAACTGCGGTTAATTTCCACTCTTGGTACAAAAGCTGTCCTATACCTATGCTCACCCACACTGCAGGGCCCTGTCCTACAAACACTGGGATCTGTTCTCTGAGTGCTGCTTCTGATCACAGAAGTGCAGACAAAGAGGCTGGCAGCCATTCTTGTTGCATCTAACTCTCCAGCTGAAGTGACTTCCAGGGTATTTAATGGGCAAGTGCCATCCTCCCCTGACCCTTCATTTTTCTCTTTATCCTTTTTTGGAAGTCAGACATTAAAG